GCCAGGAAGGAGGGGGTTCTCTCTTCCTTCCGGGATTGCAATTGCAGGATCTTGGTATTTCAGGATCACTGGCCGGGAATGGGCTGGGTATCAGTCAGCAGGTGGTGAGCAATTGCATTGTGCATTGCCCATTTGTACTTTATTATTATTGTTTACTTTATTATTATTGTTACTGTTTCATTTCATTACAGTTATTAGACTGTTTTTATCCCGACCTAGGAGTCTCCCTTTACCCCTCTGATTCACTCCTCAAACCCCCACACAGAGGGAGGGTGAGCGAGCGGCTGAGCGGTGTTTGGCTGCTGGCCGGGTTCAAACCACAACACCAAACAACTCTGGGTTTGAAAACATTCAGCAGCAGAGTAAGAAAATACTATGGAAGGTTTTTTCAGAGTCTTTCTATTCTATCTACTATTGATGATGCCATTCCATTATCTATTTTTTAGTGAAGAAAAGATGACGTTGTGTAAAGATGGCAATCTACCTTTTTTGGAAATAACGGCAAGAAACGTAATTTCTTTCTGTTTAATCCCCACTGACATCTGCAATAAGAGCATCTCCTGAGGAAGGCAAAGACACAGCAACCGTATTACAGAAAAATTGTAAAATTAAGGACATAAATTTTGGAGACTTCAGCTATGACAAAGTAATGCTCTCTAGAGAATTATGTTAATTATAAATTACAAATATAACATTTTCAAACTGAAAGGCAGAGTAATAAACTATCGACTATTCTTGCACAAACCAAGATTTAATTTTTACAACTTCTGGCTTCATCCTGTGTTTTTATGCAATATGTGTTGATGCTGGCAAAGGCTCATATGCTCAGCTAGTTACACCTAAGATAGTCATGTGCATATGTGTTTGCTGAACCAGTCCTCCAGCACTTTAATTTCGTACCTCTTTTTCCCCCCAGTTTTATTGACTGTAGTTCACACGTGCAATGAAGAATTAAAATACCTTCCTTCTGTATAGGCAGAGTTGCTCATTCCATGTGTACTGTACCTCCATACTCTTAAGGAAATGCCTACCTGCTGGGGAAACAGAGCATCAAGTGCTTTATAAGTAACAGAGTAACTTTCAGATTTTTGATCATTCAACATTTAATCACCTATCAGTGATTTTCAGCATCGGCCAGTTCCCTATTTGTTCCTATTTGAAACAGACTGCTGCAGATTAATCATTGCCCCTTCAAATATGGGGGTTTTGTGGTTTTTCAGTATGGAGGTTGGAGGAAAGCTTAAGGCATCCATTTATCAAACACCCTCTTCCCAACAAAACAACCAAAATAACCCCACCAATAAAACAAGAAAAACAATGAAAAACAACAACAAAAAAAGAAATACCCAGACAACAGAAATATTCCCTTCTTCCCTATCTGAAGTAAGAGACAGATAGATTGAAGAACATGCATTCCATCTGATGGAAATTAGATCTGCTGGAGACTATTGACTGCAAGACGACTTAATTAACAATATAGATATGAGAAGACATATGTGGGAGGGAACAATCTAAGAGCTGAAAGAATGTGAACTACCTGGTAGTTCAGTATTTGATTTGTTCATTTTTATTCTGAGTCAAGAAGTTACCCTCTTTCTAGAATGACCCTGGCTGAATAATTCCAGGAAAAGTAATAGGTGTTATGTATTCAGATCAAGACTTTTCTATTTTGCCTGCTGAGGAAACTCCTCTTTTCAACTGCTGCACCTTTAGTCATAATGAGCAGAGAGGTGCAATAAGGAGGCAGTATTCAGAGACCCAGAACTGGAAGCACCACCCGTGTACACAATACAGCAGTTGTTCTATTACGCCAAGCTCCATTTACCCCTCTTGAACCACGTTAAAACTGGTAAATCCTCTTTTCTGCTGTTAATTCTCAAATGGAAGTAAAATAGAAAATAAACCATTCTGGGACTTTCAATCTCTGTCACACAGCTGCGCTCATTCTCTGCAGAAGGCCCAAGCCATGGCCCAGTTTCATTCCAGGTTGCATACCATCCTGTGCACCAACAAATAAATAAATAAGATTGTATTTTCCTATTTGTACTACCCAAAAGAGCAGTAGCTACATGCCTATCTGCAAAAACTCAAAAGACTATGTTGACTGCCTATAGTCACCACCCAGCTAACAGACTTCAAGAATAAATGCACCAATGGTTCATAAGAAACCTTGACAAAATATATATCTAGAGGAGACGAACAAACAACCTATCAGTTCTCATGGTGCAGGTGCATATCCTCCAAAATATCAACTGTACACACTTCAATTTATTACTAGAAGATCACCAAATCAGTGCTTAACTGAGTGCTCTACCAAATGTAAACAGAAAGGACTGACACAAAGACCTCCAAAGAGGTGCTCTTGGAAAGTAATTCTTCAAAATGCAATTATAGTAGTTTGAGCTGGGTTAACAGCCAACCACTACAGATGGTCACAAGCAAAAGGCAGACTCGTTAGGGGAAGAACAAAAACCATACATTTATTACAAATACTAACAACACGTAACAAAGCAGGACAGTGAGAAGCATTGCCACATCTTGAAAACACCTTCCCCCCACCCCTCCCTTCTTCCCGGGCTCAGTTCTGCTCCCGATATCTCTACCTCCTCCCCCAGCGGTGCTGGGGCAGGGAATGGGGGGTGCAGTCAGTGCTGCCCCTTCTTCCATCTTCAGTGGGGGGGGGGAAGCTTCTGGAACTTGTCCCCCTTGCTCCATCGTGGTCCCCCTCTCCCAGAAGACAGTCCTCCACAGAAGTCTCTCTCCCACGGCTGCAGCCCTTCCCGAGCTGCTCCCGGTGTGGGCACCCCCACATGCTGCAATCCTCCCAGCGCTGAGTTGGAGCAGTGGGGGCTACCTTTTCCCACGAGACCCCAGCCTTCTTCAGGCACAGCACTTTGCTCAGCCAGGTGAAAACAAACACAGGCCACAAATCAACGTCTGCTCCACCGTAGATCTCCATGGGTGGCAGGGGGGGCCGCCCTGCCGTCTCACCACAGGATACAGGGGGGTCTCTGCTCCGGCACACCTCCCCCCTCCTTTCTTCCTCCGTTCCTCCACTGACCTTGGTGTTCATGCAGCTGCAGCAACTCCTCCTCACCAGTCTCACTGCCCGTCACCACGTCCCTTCTTAAATACGTTATCGCAGAGGCGTAGCTGACTGGCTCAATTTCCCAAACAGAAGTGGAGCTGACGTGGATCTGGGGGAGCTTCAAGAAGCTTCTCACAGGGGGCCGCCCCGATAGCCCCCTCCCCTGCCACCAAACAAAAAAAAAAACCCCACCACTCTCTTAACCCAGCAATGCAAAAATACAAAGTATAACCTACATTAGCAGAGAAAACTAAACTCATCATTTTGCTAATCTATATTAATCGGCATTAATTCCAATATGGGTGATAGAGGTTCTTTATATAGGGGTACACATCTACTTAGGTCTGATTTAGTATAGGGTGATTGTTCAAAAACATGAAGGAGACTGGGTGACAGCACAAACCAAAGCAAAGCGAAGAACTGCAAGGGGACATTTATAGCTCTGTCTGTGTGTCTAAGGACCAGAAATTTCAAAAACTAACTTAGTCACCAAAATCCCACTGAATTTCAACAGCACTGAGACATCTTACTCTCTGAAACACCACAGATCTTATCTTTCAAGTGCTTTTTCCTAGCAATAAATAGGACTGGTCAGAGAGAAGGTTACTCTATTACTGTGTAACTATCCAAATCACACACTTCTTTGGAAGCACCAGCATTCCTCAGGGCAATAATGCATTCACTCGATTTCTGCACTTTACCCAAAATAAGAGTTCGATAGAGATGAGAAGTTGGGTGTAAGTACTCACAAATCAACTGCAAAACAAAAGATACGACAGACTTGTTTTCTAACTTCCTGACTCATAAAGATGTCAACGGTGGAGCTACAATAACTTGCACAAGTCAGGATTTTCCACTTTAACATGAGTATCCAGATATATGGCTCTTCTTCCCCTGGTCTCTTGTTTTTTTTCTGACTTCAAACATAGTTTACATAGCAAAATGTAACCTTTTTTTATTTGCAACTCAAGTTTTTCTGGTCTTCATCTTTCTGGAGAAAAGCCTAACAATGTCAGGCTTTGGAGCCTGGAAAAAAAAAAAAAAAAAAAAAAACCACACAAAAAACAACAACAACAACAAAAAAAAAAAAAACACAGCCAAAATTCTTAGTAAAACAAAAGTGTTTATAAAAATCCCACTTGGGGCGGGGCAGAGCATGGTAAAGCCACTCAAAGATATTTACGCACAGAGACTTATTTCGCATCCATCTTGCATCTAAAGTTGAAGGTTCGTTATCACTCTAGACTACCTGTTTACCTGTACATTAGTAGTAATATAGAATGGGATAGGGGATTTCCAATTCCATCATCCTTACCTTGCCAGAACACTGTCCCGCGACTAGCTTTAAAAAGAAAGGACCGGTAAATAAGACACACTAAGTCTATGGCTTACATAAAGCACTCCAAGTGAAGCATCTGCCAATATGCATATTAGAAATTCTCTCAATAGTGGGTTTTGCATGTTTGCACAGCTGTTATAGATGGATGCTCATAAAGTGTATTACTGTTAAATCACTGCTGCCTTCGTTTCCTCCTCTCCCAATCTGGTTCTCTGATTTTCACTTATTTGCATTCCTCTTCACCTTTCATTTCCTTCTTTATTTAATACTTTTCCCCACTAGTTCTGCTAGTCTTTCCAACCTCTGCTTTTGCTCTGTGATTTCTTCTTTTCTATTTTATTTATGATTTCCTTAAACTTCACTCTCTATCAACTTGACTTTTTTCTCCTTCCCTTTCCCTGCTGTTCATAAGAATCAGAATCACAGAATATCTCGAGTTGGAAAGAACCCATAAGGATCATTGAGACCAACTGCCTGCTGCTTGCAGGGCTATTTAACACTAAACCATATGACTTAGAGCATTGTCCAGATGCAACTTGAACTCTGACAGGCTTGGTGCTGTGACCACTTCCCTAAAATATGGAATACTTCATGAATTTGTGTGTCATCCTTGCACAGGGGCCATGCTAATCTTCTCTGTATAGTTCCAGTTTTAGTACACATGCTGCCAAAGTGAGCACAAGCAGCTGTCTTGGATGTCTCCTGGCCTTTTCTGACAACCCCAAATTATCAGACCGGCTCAGGTGACAGCAACCTGTCCATGGCTTGTTCTGTCAGCTTAACCACCATGCAGAAAATGAAACCTCAGTTTGATCAATTTGCTGCCACAAAACCAGCATTTGCAAAACTGGGAGATCAAGCAATTAAGATATGAAACTATGGCTGAAACATTATAGGCTCACGGTGAATGCTATGAAGACCAGGGCATTCATAGCTGAAACAGAGTAGAATAAAATTTCTTCTTGTGGGAAATTACATTTCCTCTTATTAAAGAGCCCAAGGATTTGTACCATGACTGATGTGCCACTGTGCATTATGTCAGTAATGAACACACCATCGTCAAAAATTCCTATTCACAGTCCTTCTTCCTACAAATGACAAAAACATCTCATCTTATGAGATGACCTGCCCTTCCCCCAGCAGGGTTACAGCACAGCAGCTGCCCAAAAGTCTTCAGAGGCAGTGAGTTAACGAGTGGTTACCGTCCACATCAAGGTTCAGAAGGCTGGCCTCCACCACCTTCAGTAGAGTATTAATTACATTATTCTGGGATCCAAAAATATAGGACTGACAGCTGATGTGGAACATCACTGGCTTTTCTAAGAGCCCATTTCATTGATTAACTGTACTCACAGCTGTGAAGTTCTTTTCAATATTCAGCTTAATCGTGTCTTTGCTGAGGCTTAAAGATCATTGTTTCTTGAAGTGCTTGTCATGGTCAGCCATCTAAATGTGTTTATTTTGCAGAACATAAGTGATTCAACTAATCACAATGCAAGCGTTATGCAGCTTCACAACATTTTTGTTGTCTGGCATAATGAGCAAGCTCAGCATAGGCGCTTGCTTGTTGGTGCTGCCACTCTTTCAGAGAATTTCCATTCATTTAGTAACTCCAGGCTAGCAGCTAAATCAATCATGAATAGCCAAAACACACCCATCCAAAGCCACAGACCTTCATTTAGGCATATACAGTTCAAAGTACATCCAAGCTCTCGTGTTGAAAAGATTTTAGTTTTCAAGATTCAAATCTGTAGACAAGCTGAACACCCAAAAAATAAGATCAGAAGAAGTGGAGATATTTACCATTGGCATGTCAGTAGCAACAATCAGATGAGAAAGGGTCTGATGGCAGACCAGCGCACAGCTACCCCTCCACACAGCATGCAAACCCATGCCTGCTGCTAAGAAAACAGCTTTGCACTCATAGTTGCAAGTGCCAAAACCAGGTGTGAACTCCTTTTCTTTTCTGGTGCTAAAATGTTGTTAATTTAAATTTCTACAAATATCTTCTGGCCAGAGAGGGAGAGAAGGCCACTTTCTCAAAGGAAGTATTTTCTGATGTTCAGACTATCCCAGCACTGGACAACCAGGTTTGCTCCCCTCCGAGCACAAAATCTATCAATGTATTTCCCCCGCACCTCCCTGAGAAGACAGCCTGATCTAGTTTTTTTGAGTTGAGAGCAGCTTTCTTCACTTAAGATGAAACCCCACAATGGCCAACCTTTAATTTTCTATTTATGACTCAACAACCTAAGCAAAGTATATACACAGCCTCTGCAAGAGGCTGAAGGAAAATCAACTTCTTTTCCTGCCTCCTGGTGAGTCACAGCAATGCTAGAACTGTAAATATAATTATTTCTTTTATTTAATCTACATTTTCTCTATATTTTCCTCAAGGATACAGATCCTTTGGAAGTCCCTGAGCAATATTAGTTCTTTTCCTGTCCTCACTGCTACCGTATTATACAGTAACGTAGAATTTGCTTAGTCTTCCTTAAAATAGGTGAAATTGTCAACTGACAGAAAATCAAAAGCCTTTGGTATGTATAGTGAACTCAGGCAAAACAAACAGGAAGCTCAAAGCACTGCTGAAATGTAGGAACTGTGAGGGAATATACAAAAACTGGGCAACAGGAAATAAATACAAACATACACGTTACTATGAAGGGCATGGAAGAAAAATCGCAGTTAAACAGGAAATCCATTAAGAATATAATAATTCAGAAGAACACACATTCAAGTACAAAATGCAATTAATTGAGACAGGAAATAAGAATTTAAAAATTATTATATTTTGCAAATGCAGAATAAATGCAACTAGATCACACTGTTCAGTGCCTTGTGGCTTGTTTTTTTTCTGTGTTTTTTAATCTTCACTAGTATGTCCTCACACCCTCCCTGCCCTCTTAAATCAATCAAAAATAGTAATTACAAAAAAAAATAATCCACTTCAGCATCCCAATATGCCTGTGGGTAACACCACGTAGAACGTCATGGAAATAGTTAGCAGGAAAAAAAACAGCTATCAAATAATTGACAACTGCTCAAAGCATGTATGCTCAGGATCTGGGTCCTGGTTTCCTACAGGACAGAGATGTTTGGTAAAAGCCAGTATGACATAAACATTATCACAACAATTGATTTTAAAGACCAGTTAAAAGCTATTGTCTGTGACAGACCAGGTAAGCCAAACAATCTGTGTTCAGGGACTAAGCAAGCTGCATTTGCACTTGAAATGTTTTGACCTTAGTCCCATAACTGCACTCAGAAGAGGTCCAGCAATGAATACCGAAGCCCTTTTTCTCCTACCTCTGTCCAAGTCTGTACACGAGCTCCTGCACGTGCCCCCCTCCTTCATACTTGGAAAGGCAAAACATCTCCTCAGACCTCAATAACAACCTCCAAACTTAACTGTCTGCTAGATGGCAGGAGAAAAAAGACACAAAAAAATCTATTCTAACAGAAGCAGATCTGGTAGCCTTCAAGAAGCAGATGATGTAGTAAGATGTAAGGACAGTGCTATCGCAATTTAAAATCGTGTGCAAGTGTCATAAAATGACAGACAAAGAGAAAAATAAGCACAAAACAAATTCTTAAAATGTCAAGTGTCTTCCTGCAGACCAGATTACTGCAGGGCATTGGGCGAGCCAGGAACAGAAGCACATGAGCTTAAAATGCAGCAGCAGTAGTCCATGAACAAGAGCAGTGATAAAGCTCATCAGCCCCATGTCTGTCTCAGCATTACCTCTTCAAATTGCAGCAGCACTTCCAGCAAAAGCCCCATCCCAATCCAGCCTCCCATCCCAATATGGCTGCTGTCCAGGGGACTCTCAAATTTAATTTTCACTGTGTCACAGTACAGCAGAATACTTCATAGTGTTTGTTCTGGGTTGATTTTAAATCTGGTCAAAAGATACTACACATGCGGAGCATCCTTTAAAGAGGGCTGCTTCAGCAATCAGCAGTTCAGTAATAAACAGCTGGACCCACAGCTTTGACTCCTCTTAGTAGAAGTGATCATGAATCTTGGAAAGAATTGTATTGCATATTTCTTTACACTAGATGTGCATTGAAAGACAATTTTCTTCCAGTAATGCTTTTGGAGACAGTTCACTTTTCTTCCAAGAGTCCCATAAATCTCGTAAAAGAGAATAATAATCTGAATCCAACCAGATATAGTATAAAATAGTTCTGCAGTTCAACATATTTTTAATTCAATTTGATGCCACTGCACATTCACTTCCATGATCATTCACACAATTTGGTTTCCAACAGAACACACATGTTAAGCTTCCACAGAAACTGAATTTAAAGACTAATTATCAACACACATTCCCACCAAAACCTATAATACAAAAACGGTTCTCAGCCAGATCAGGGAAGTTAGCCAGTTCAGAGTAGGGCAAAGGAGTTAGCATTCTGGGTACCAAAACTGAAGCAGTAAGGCCCCAAAAAGCAGAGTCATTCTGAAAAATGTAACATTTGGAGAAGGCTGGTGCTCTGCCAGTCACATTGCGAACAGAGGAAGACAAAATTCATTAAATAAATTATTCATTAGTATTTAACAACTCAGCACTGGATCCGATATTTCTATTTTGGCTAAAGAACAGTGCAACAAATCCATCCATTTGTAACTGCACTGCTGAAAAAGTTAATGCCATCTATTGACAGGTTAATTTATAATATCACCTTAATTAAAAAAAGATTATATTATCACTTTCTGACTGAAATGAAACTGCAGGTGATTGGGAACAATGTACCTACAGGCTAATGAATGATTTGAAGCAATTCAGTGTCCAATTAACACCAGCATCTGGTTTGGGGATTTTTTTCCCTGTCAAAGCTTTAGCCCTATACTAATTATATTTTTAGTTAGTAGTAACAGAAAGTTTCAATCTTGACATTATCCTTTGAGCAAAAATGCAGAAAATAAAATAGTCAGTACCTGGAATTCACAAAACCAGAAGCAAACTTCCTATCACTTGTAGGCATACAAAGCAGGATGGGAAACTTTTTGTAGCCTGATTTCAACAGCTATCCCAACACAATTGTAACTAAAAAAACAAGAGAAGTGCCCCTTGTGCCCAAGACACAGGAACAGCGACCCATCTGCTTCCATCTGGAGGATCTTCTCTGAAGCCAGCTTCAAACGTACCAAACTTTGCTTGGTCAAATTGGCTTCCTGATGCTTTTTAAACTAATTTTTGCTAATAAAAAGGCAATTGAATAATCCACTGATCTTCGAGATTAAGCACAGCTGGGAGATTTGGGACAGGGGTACTTGGGCTGCATGGAGAAAGTATCATTTGAGCAGACAAGCATTTGCCTCCTGCCCACTTACTAACACTGGATTTAGATTAGTCAAACAAAATTTCTGAAATACAATAGGGGTTTTTGCCAATAAAATGTTCATCACTAACTCTGCTAACTCTCTAAGACCAAAACCATACAACTAAGATAAAAAGTGAGCACAAGTATTTAAGTCCAAACCTGGCTTAGCATTTTAATACCGTGAGCATGGGTGGACTTAAGAGTATCTTATTCACATATTGTATGCTAGCTCTGTTATTGTTTAGGAAAGGTGTAGTGTCATTTCCTTAGGCATTCTTGCAATTATACCAGGCAAGAGATGTAACTTGGTGTACCAAATGGTCACTTGAGAACAAAACCAGTACTCATT